TAAGAAAGCAGCAACATATGTGAGCTTGATTTATCTTAAGCTCTTAAGATAGCTTAAAACNCATGCATCCCTGCAGAATTTTTCTTCGCAAGCTTTGGTCGATGCATGATCTTCAATCAAAGGAGCATTCATAATGATGATTTTATGTTTATTCAGAAATTAACCGACGATCAGTTTAATCAAATTTATATTCTGCATACAGTCAAAATGCTTCACTTACATGCTTTCATGAAACTCATCTCGAAATATCCATACGAATGCATATGAAAAATTAGCATGTTAGTAAAATTATAAATAGTTCGGTGATTCGACTTGGGGCCATTGTACAGTCGTGCTCTAGTGACCGGGAGACGGTAGTGTCAGTTTGGTTGCTGTGGAATACCAAAACGATTTTCTGTGTGTTGCTTAAGTGGCTGACTTCTGCGAGCAACAAGGCCAATATCACAGAATAATTGTACGTCAGTTATCAATCGTACTTCACAGTGTCATTTCACTGTATTGGGTGTTGCAACTTTATCTATTTATTCAATCAGCAGATTAAACTCATTACGAGTTTACGCCTCTCTGTTATCACCAATATCACTAATATCACATTCTTCCTTCGTTGGCATTCTTCTTTCAGCGCAGCTAACGATAATAGCGTTTGGAGTTATATGTCTTCATGAAATTCTTATATTCAGATTAGTTACGTTGCAACTTTATTTCATTCAACAACTTTAATAAGAAACAATAAATTTCAAGAACAACTCATCAACACATCAACGCAATAATGGGCGATTTTGTGCTTAAACTCGATCCAGAAGATAAAATCACTTATGTGGGCAAAAAATTGGGTGAAGAGCCTGTGCTGGCAACACTCAAAGTCACTAACCCTACCAAGGTTCGTTCCGCATTCAGTACTGATTCTTGCTCATTGGCTATGAGAATTAAACTGATTTGAGCCCATTTACTGATCACCTTAATGAATTTAGACTGAACAGTATCGTTAGTTTTGGCTGTTCAGAGGATAACTATGATTGACGGTTAACTATTTGAGAGCATAAATGGAAAGCAATCGAAACTGTTGAAAGTGTGAAGTTTTTTACAGGATCGACAAATATGTAAGGTAAAATGCACCTCAAATGAGATGTTCCGGATACGTCCACCGGTATTCGCATTAAAACCTGAAGAAGAAGTCACCGTTAAGGTAAACCTTCCTGAACGATATTCACTCGATATCAACTCTATCTCGCATGATCGCTTGGTCTGATCACTTACAATTCACTTGAATACTGATCCACTGATCAATCGATCAAAGCGATACGAGTCGCAAAAGAATTTCTGGATGACTAGTCATCTCGAATCGAGACAGCATTTGAATTTCAGCTAACGTTTAATGCTGGCAAGACAGTTCCGGACAGTGGTAAACACTACTATGCGGTTTATTATATCAAAGGATCTGATGAAGCAAAAGCGCCGCGTGCATGCTGGAAGGACCACAAAGGCGATCCTGATGGGACGAAGAGGTCATGATCGTGTGACACCTTCCTCTAGTGACAGCAGTCTGATCTCATTTCTTTACAACTCAGTGATTAATTATTCATGACTGTAATAATTCATAATTGCAATTTACTCATTCATGACAAATGCTCACGAATTCTGCTGAATGATAAAATGTTCAGGCTCAAAGTATACTTCAAGAAAGAGGATGAAGGTGAAGAGAAGAAGGAAGGCGAGGAGAAGAAGGATGAGAAGAAGGAAGGCGAAGAGAAGAAAGAGGAGAAGAAGGAAGGCGAAGAGAAGAAGGAAGGCGAAGAGAAGAAGGAGGGTGAGGAGAAGAAGGAAGGAGAAGAAAAGAAGGAAGGAGAGGAAAAGAAGGACGAGAAGAAAGATGAAGAAAAGGTTCATTTGCATCGTTCCTTCTCAGATCACCTCTAGACCAATTGACTAGGGCATCAACTTTGTAGCGTTACCATCAGACTGAAGTATTTTGATGTTTCGGTCTTAAGATGTTGTCCACTTTAAGGTTTTAAAAGAAATACGGAGTGAGCTATTCATTTTAGGAATATTCTGGCAGTAGTTTGATCAGAAAATTTGATAAATCGACTAAGATCCTTGAGGTAGTAACTGTAAAACTGACGGTTGATCATATTGATCATACAGTTAACAAAGCATGAGAAGCACGAGAATGACTAAACGATGAGGAAAATTACAGAAAGACGAGGAAAAGAAAGAAGGTGAGGAAAAGAAGGACGAGGAGAAGAAGGAAGGTGAGGAAAAGAAGGATGAGGAGAAGAAGGAAGGCGAGGAGAAGAAGGATGAGGAAAAGAAAGATGACGAGAAGAAGGATGACGAGAAGAAGGATGACGAGAAGAAGGATGACGAGAAGAAGGAGGGTGAGGAAAAGAAGGATGATGAGAAGAAAGAGGAAGAAGGCGAGAAGAAGGAGGACGATAAAGAGGAAGATAAGAAGGAATAATTGGTTGTGTTGGAGTGATCGATTGATGATTGATAAAATAATTAATTGATAAGCTAAAAGATCGCCCCAAAACAACCCCGTCAAATATGCATCACTCTTAATGCACATTCAACTTGACTAATCCTGATTCTCAATTGTACATTATCAATTGCGATTTGCATCATTCATATTATGTTTGTACTTCATCTCATTTGATTTTCATTCAAACAGTCATGAGGTACACAATAATAATACTTGATTGTACGGTGATTATTTTTCACAACTTTGTTTATTTCATAGCTTTCAGAGTTTTATTACATGCTTAGCGCCTTGCCGAAGAAAGACATGATCTCTTCAGTCGATTGAATAGAACCGAAGCACCTGATCTCTTCTATCTAGCAACCCTTTTACAACTGGGCTACCACATCACATATATCATGCTCGGGATCGTCGAACTCTCGGTTTTTACTAGCAGTCAAAATAAGTTCTGCTGTCGTTTAGATCGAACAAATCCGCTATTGCAAACGGCATATATGTCTCCTAGGAAGAAGATACCTAGTTCCAGAGATATGACTGTTTTTTGTAAAGGTATCTCCTGAATACGGCTGCGATTCCCATTTTCGGGCGACTTGTTCTCTTAAGTTTATTCAGTACCACAGTGGTTTTTTGGTACCATCACACTGATGAGAATCTCTGCTATCAGAAAATATATGTTTTCGGGTGTTATTCCTTAATTTTAGAGATAAAACTGAATTTTTGAAGGTATATCATATAAATGGACAATTTCATTTTAAAGCCTGTTTGTATTGAGTTGATCTCTGGTTTGATCAGTGATGTGTGCTACTATGAGAAGAATATCAGGGGTTCCAATTGCAGAATAATCTTACGCTCAATTTTCCTAACGTTTCCATGGTTTTTCGTTAGTAGCGACTAAGGAGGATCCCTTGCGATAAGAAACGTGTTCACGTTTGTTAAGCTTACTAATATGCTGAATTTGATTTCGCCTCGTGGCAGCTTCATCCCATACTATTTGCTCAATCGCTATTGTTAAGTTTCTTCAAGTTTAAGTTGATCCTTTCAAATTTTTGATTAAACCTCATAGTCTGAGGTTGAACAGCGGTAGTTTACCACTTCATTCGTTGAATAATTCAGGGTAATCTTGCTGGTTGTGGTATATTATAGGTTCACTTGTAATGAAATAAGGCAAGTGTTCCAATCGTTTACATAATCTGATTGAGGCAATCTCGAGAATTACTAAATAGAACGAGTCTCGCTCGACTTTATTGCACCGAATCGGTTGATATGTTGTGCTGAATCAAACTTTCTACTTGATACCATAGGACTTCAATACCTATCATTGAGACGGAAAAGTTTGACGGAAAGATATTGTTTCTCCGATATGACATTCACGATTTTAACGTGTGATTTTATATATTCCTTCTAGAAAGTAAATATTCAGTGCTTTTCAACCATTTTGTTGAATTGTCATCGATTTTGTTGTGAACTTATGAATAGTATCTTTGTTTTATCGGTGTTTCAACTACGAAAGATTTTGGTAATTTATATTGATGTATCGCTTGATGATTGATGTGCTATCTTATTCATAAAATAATCTCAATTGATTATGTTAAAATTTGAGGTACTCTTTCATAAATGTCCTATTTCTGCACTTCATATCGGATCTCCTCACTACTGATCTCCCCGTCGCATCGGTATTTATGTCGTCGTTTCGTCTCGTCAATAGGTACACTGAAAATCTACAGTTTCAGACGACATGTTGCTGAATTTTTCTCAAACAAGTCGGTTTTTCGCATTCATTTTGTCTGACCATTACTTTTGTTTGGATTTTTTGAGGATTTCACCGAATTATTGCAATTTCCCAAATGATTTCAGGTTTGAGCCGGATCGAGTTGAAGTTCTAGGACCGGATTTGGCTTGCTTGGAATGGCTAATGGAATGCGGCTCGACTCAGGTGGGTTTCGAGCGAAATACGTTCGCTACACAATATTTACTCCAGTTTCATTCGGCGGATCTTTCGTCCCATTGGTCTTCTTGGAATTCCAATGGTTATTTCAATACATTCCATTATTTTTGAAGAAATCAGGAAATCACATTTTTTATTCTGTTTAAGGTGACAATGAGCGACGGTGAACAGATCTCGAGTATAGCTCAAATGCGGAAATATATCAAAAAATTTGGTTTTGATCTCTACGATATGGTGAGATCTACTCAAATTTCTGCTTTGCTTGTGAAGATTTACAAATTTTTAGAAACTTTCATCTGACATATTTCAAAGTTGACATTAATCAAATGATTATAATATATGAATGCTGCAAAATTTCCAGTTCTTTTTCAATTTCAACAGATAATTCAACTAGTAATCAGTCATCCTAGCGAGAATTTCCAATGAGTTGGAAGTTACATGAAATGTGAAAACTTTCAGCCAGAATTTGAAGATGATAAAATTGAAGAGTTGCGAAAAGAGTATCTCTCGATAAAGTCCGCAAATCCCAGTGAAATAGCTCATCATGAGCGTTGGCCGAACGCTCCGAATACTTTCATTTCACAGGTCTTTTTTTCAACCGTCTGAATTTGATACGTTCATCGCTACTGTGATTATCTTCATTACTTGTTGATCTCTAATATTATTCATCCTCAGTATTAATAATTTTGTTGTGATCGTCATTAACGTTTTCAATTGTTTCGTTTTCATAATGAGGAATAATAATGGCAAAGAAGATTTGATTGTTTCAGGTAGATGCGAGTGATTCTGCAATTGCAAATGCAGGTTTCGCATATTTCCGCGAATGCCGTCAACTTCAGAGTTTGAAACTGAATTTTTGTGACTATTTCGGTGATGAAGCCATAAGAGAGTTGGCTCTTGGACGACCTGCATATACCCTTAGAAATCTGGTAAGGTAATTCTCATTATTGTTACTGTTACAGTCAGCATTGTTTATTGCCAGCGCCATCTACAAATCAATTAATTTCCAGGAGATTGT